GTTTATTTTGAGGTGCTGAAATATTTTTAAATTGACTTGTGATGGTTGTACATATCTTTGAATATAGTACAAATCACGAAACTGTACACTTTAAATTGGTTGTAAACTATGCAAGTTATGGCAATAAAGCTGTTAAAAATAAAAAATTGGTGATAAAACCTGCTTGCTTTTGTTCAATATATACATTCTAGCAAAGAAAAGATTTTGTAAAAGTTAAGTAACAACTGGCCAGTTACACCTGATTTGTAAATAAATGGACTTCACAATTCTCTCAGAAAAATGACTGAATCTGAGTCAAATATTTTCTTGATGTATATTAGTGGGCAGTATCCCTGTATTGTCACTGATATCTAAGTATGCAAATAGAATTCTGCATGTCTTTATATTATTGACCCTACACAAGTAACCTCAAAAGCCTCAACTACTGCTTCTCAGGGCCTCCGCTTCCCCAGGCCATCCTCCCTAAAAAGTAATTCTAGTCTTATCTGTCAGTGATTTGATAACCCATATATTATTGCAATTCCTGATAGATTACGTGATGGGTACCATAAGACACAGACGGTCTTACCTTACCTCTTAGGCAGAACCACTAAAATGAAAATTTTACATACTACGCATTTTGGTTACTTGGTCATACCCAAGAATAATGCCATTCCCAAAGAAAGAAAAACTCCTATTTGCACAGACAGAGATACCGCAAAAAGAAGTAAAATCAAACCCAGAACTTAGTTCTAGAACTGAGCTGTATTGGAGATATACATCTCCAGACAAGAAACTTAGTTTATATATTAATGAAATGGGGATCCAGAGAAGTTAAATGGACTAGAAGACCTGGTCCCTTTCAAATTCAAAATCCTGTAATTCCAGGCCATGAAATAGTCAATCACATGTAAGACAGCATAAATATAAAGGTAGTTAAAACTCCATAGTTTTGTTAAAAAGAAAGAATAAAGAAAAACTACCTTCAAAATTGCTAGGAAACATCTGATTTGGAGTGTTAGAACAAGCCTTAAATTTTTAGTAGAATCAGAGAACTACCTACCAGCTAATAACCTCTCCTTTCCTTCTAAAATCCCTATTTCAACACTGGTGTCAAATAGTTAATTCAAAAACCATATGTAAGTCAAATGTAATTATGATGACTATGACAACCAAATCTCAGAATACCAAACACTTAATAGCCACATTTAAATTCATGAAAGATAATTAACTTGTGCTTTAAATGTAGACTACGCAATAAACAATATGCTAAGTTCCTTTAAAAGTCTTCAAAAGCAAAATTCTAGTTTATGTGTTTGGCTATTTTGCTTTTCACTTTTTGTATTTTTATATAAGCTTTGGCTAATCTCAAAATACTCAACTACAAACAGCTGGAAAGTGATGCTACTTTCACCTGTACAAGTAAAGTGAATGTTAAAAACAGATCATCTCATTTTGTGCTTCTCTCCTTAAGTATGCAATTGTTGTCTAGGAGTCAAAGAAAAATTTGTAAAATTGCATACTATAGTCTAACCTATTTTGTTTAGTAGAGCATGAAATCAGACCTGTGATGAATGTAGTTTAAGCATTCAATGGTTCATAACGAACACCTCCTGAATGTTAGATATTTGGCACAGACTACTTTTGGGCAGTATTCCTTTCAAATATAAAGTTATCACTTCATTTACAAACCTTGTCTTTATTAAGAGTAGAAAATGGGTTTCAAATGTGTGTACTTCCCAAAGGTGCCAGGTTATAGATGTGTTGCAGATCCTATCTAAAAATGCACACTTTAACACCAGAAAATATTTAAAGGCACTCGGAGTGTTTAGTTAGTTGGAACTGAGTTTAATGTTTGTGGATAAAATGAGAGTTTCTGTGGCCAGGATTCTCACCTGGCCCTGGTTGACTAGCTCACTGTACACCTGTGGGCAATACATGGCTGTTGACTCCATATAAAGAGCTCCACCCAGTGCTCTGAGCATGATGTGGTGGCAGGGCTGCAAGGCTGCAGATTTGATTGGCAGAGCAGAGGCTGGAGTGGTGGCAGTGCCTAGGACAGAGGCCCAGAGGACGGCTGTGCAGGACAACTGCAGAGGGGCCCAGAGGATGGCTGTGTGGGACGGCTGTGAGGAGAGAGGGGCCCAGAGGAAAGCTGTGCAGACAGAGGGAACCAGAGGAAGAGACCGGCTTGCTGCATGCAGACTCGCTCTGAGTGAAAGGGATTTTAGTGACTGACCTGCCACCTGGAAATAAAGTTGGGTATAACCCTTTCACCCCAAGAACGTTTTGTTGTCGATTTCTTTGGTCACACTGAATCCATAGTAAACTTGCCAGGGGCTGAAACCCATTGGCAAGACAATTGGCAGAAGTCAGCAGGGTACACTGTTGACCAAGGAAAAAGACAGGCTGCCCTTATGGGAGGGGTGCTTCAGCAGGATGTCCCTGTGAATGGGGAGACAGTGGATCATCCCCCAATGGGTGTATGGTCTGAGGTGGCTTGCCTCCTAGAGGACTGGGCCCCAGCCCAGGACTGGAGGCAAGTGGAGGTGACACCTGAGGCAGTAGGGGTGGCCCTTGATATAGTAAGCAGATCGTTTGAGAAGCAGAGTGCCCATGAGGCAACGGGGACTGTGGGTTGGCTGCTTCTCACAGTCTTACAGAGGTCTACAGAGGAGACCCAAGAAATGGAGGCACAAGAACGCGAACTGCAAACTTCTGCGGATTCCCTGAGGAAGGACATGGCATTGATGTGGGAGGAGGCGGCACAAGAGTGCTGGCAGCAAGGTGCCATTGGAGACAAGATGGCAGTGCTGCCAGGTGCTCTGAAGGAGGAAGAGGCCATTAAGGAAAAGGATGAACTCCTGAGGGAAGCACAGGTGGAAGTGGCACAAGAACGTCAGCTGTGGAGCACCGAGGTAAAGGTAAGAGAGCTTCTGAAGACTGAGCTGGCATTGCTGCAAGACACTGTAGCAGAGGAGGCACTCAGGGGAGTGGAGAGAAAGGTGCCATCAGTGAAGGGGTGGTGCCAGAGGCACTGGCCCCTCCTGTATTGAAAACACACCCAGTGGTTGTAAAGAAAATAAAGACCCAGCAGCTAAAAGATCCCCCAAGGAGAGGAGCAGCCCCCTCCCTAGGTTGTGGAGCACTCACTCTATGGTCCGCCCCTGTACTCAGGATGAGCTGGTGCCTGTGGGACTTAGGGGTGGATGGAATTGTTCTGTCGGGATCAGAGATGGGAAAGCTGTCTTCCCTGACAGTGCAGTCCGCCTCAAGGCAGTGATTACAAAATGTGAGGTGACACATACAGTAGCTGAAGCAACGAGAACCCGGAAAGAAATAAGACCTTTTACTCACAGGAGGAATTTGAGGGGCCTTATGAGGGTTATGAGGATCCAGATGTGGGTTGATTTGATATGGGCAGGAGTAGATGGAAGGAAATTAGACTGGAAGCCAAATAGGATCTTACTGGAGCTATGGCAACAACTGAAACCAGAGCAGCAGTTCCAGCCATTAAGATCATTAAGACCAGAGGCAGAGGTCAGAGACACAGCCATGAGTCCGGCCTGTGTGTCTGCAAGACTTTTTGCTGCAGAGGCTGGAGAACAATGCTCAAGCTTCCTTGCACAGGGACCATTGCAGAGGACTGAGGGCACACAGATTGAGAGGAGAGAATCCTGGAGAGGTGGAGTGTGGATAAAATGAGAGTTCCTGTGGCCAGGATTCTCACCTGGCCCTGGTTGACTAGCTCACTGTACACCTGTGGGCAATACATGGATGTTGACTCTATATATAAAAAGAGCTCTGCCCAGTGCTCTGTGCATGACATGGTGGCAGGGCTGCAAGGCTGCAGGAGAGCAGAGCAGAGGCTGGAGTGGTGGCAGCACCAAGGACAGAGGCCCAGAGGATGGCTGTTTGGGACGACTGTGCAGAGAGGCCTGGAAGACGGCTGTGTGGGACCTCTGTGCAGACAGAGGGGCCCAGAGGATGGCTGTGAGGAAAGAGGGGCACAGAGGCTGAGACCAGCTTGCTGCATGCAGACTCGCTCTGAGTGAATGGGATTTTAGTGACTGACCTGCCATCTGGAAATAAAGTTGGGTATAACCCTTTCACCCCAAGAATGTTTTGCTGTCCATTTCTTTGGTTACATTGAATCCATAGTGACATTGCCCAGGGCTGAAACCCATTGGCTCCATAGCAAACTTGCCCAGGGCTGAAATCCACTGGCAAGACAAAAGTTTAATTCAACAGGTCCATGTTTGAGTATTGAATTTTCTAAGTTTCTGATATTCTTCTACTAAATACAATTATATATATTACATATATATGTACATACAGAACACATTAGTGCACATATTGTCAAAATGAATACATTAGAGACATATTAAAAATTTTTGTTTTTAATAGAAAAACTACTTTTATGACAGAGCTAAGTAAACAAGCAAACCTAATTTTTAAAAAGAAAAATTAGTAAGAGTGTCGCAGGAACTGCAGGAACTACAAACAAGGATTTGGGACACCAAGACGTTTGACAAGAAGCAGTTTATTAGTGCCAGCACTGGCTCAGCAGATTCATATCCAAAGACTGAGCCCCGAGAACAGAGGGGCCATGCCTTTTACACATTCACTACAAGGGTTAAGGAGAGTCAGCCCCCAAGAATGTTGCAGTGGGAGCTCTTACTGTACTATAGGTTCAGCCAGAATGCTAGTTATGTTTTAACATATCTCAATAAAGGGTACCTGGATAATTATTGGAAACTAATGGGCCTACATGACTGATCAACAAGCTGTTCCATATCACCGGGTTCCAGTGGTGAGTACATTGTTACACTGCTTTAAACTCAAGCACCCTGGTATTTCTCAGCATTCTTAAAGCCTTAAAGAAATACTGTCCTGTCCCTTTTCTTGGCTTGGCTTCCTATCACAAGAATAGCTGAATTCTAGTGATAAATACACTAAAATAATCTTTTGAAATAAACCATCTTTAGAGAAAAATATTAATTCATGCCAGATTCTTAAAATGCATGAAAGGAAATTTATTTAACAATTTATACCAAAGGAACATCATAAATACATGTGTTATTCTAGTACAGTGAGGCAGGAATCCCAGCCTCAATGACAACACAGCCTTGATCTTAACACAGTCTGCTTCTTAGTACATGCCTCATAAACAGTATGTTCCCCAAATTGACAACTACAAGCAATTTTCTCTGTTGATAGCTTATGAGTAATTCTGGCAACAGAGTAAAAACGTTTTAATTCTTACTTTGCTAGTTCTCTATACTCATGTCGGTCTCAAGAAACATGTGGTTATCGTTTTCAATGAAAACTGTCAGAAGAGGGATATTTTCAGACTTTTTAAACAAGTTAAATGAAAAATATTTATTGTTTGTAAAAATAAAACAAGAAGTGAGTTTTAGGATATCTTTAGATTTGAATTTTTAAAAAACATTGTCATTTTATTTGCAAAGACTAAAGTGATGAAAAACGTGCAGTCAACCATTACTTTCAACCATTAACAAGTTACTTTTGTTAAGACCAATGAATGAAGTAACTGAATTAAGAACTGTGCAGAGATGCTGAATGGACAATCCTGTCACTTATGACATGCAGCTTCCTACAAAGTCAAGCTATTACAGTCTTTTTGATGATGACTGTTGCTACTGTTTAAACTAATTTTGAAACTTTCTCAATTTTAACACAAATTATCAGCATGGACTCACATATGCTTATTTTTCAGTCGCCTCACGTAATGATTCCGATTTAGTCACTTAAACACTGATGTTTTTATCACAGTGAAAAAAATAAAGACAGAATATGGTTTCAGAAGATGGAATCCACAGAGGCTAGTAATGAATTATTAACCACAGAACATCAGTAACAGACTGTCAATTACAGAAAACAAGTTATCAATATTATACAAAACTTTTTTCTAAAATATCCAATTCATTTTTATAATGAATCAAACTAACAAATGCTTATAAATTATTCATGTACTTTCATGTGAGGTTTGTTCTGTTATTAATATTTATGCTTTTCTACTGCTACTTCTTCCCTACTCTTATATCGAAGTCTTGCCACAAATTTTGGTGAACTCACAAATACCCCTACAGCTATGGGTAAACCAAAAAAGTGGTAATTCATCGAAATGTATTTCCATCTATGTAATAAATAAGTCTGTTGTGAGGTTAATTTCTCCTAATTTATATAAAATAATCCCAAAATCATATTGATTTTACTATAGCTCAAACCCTTAGACAAATATCTTTCTGATTACCTATTAAAGAAAACTGAGTAAATTTTATATTCATATTTAAACTACTGAATACCTGTAAACAAAGAAGCATTTATTAAAATAGAATATACACTTAATTTACACTAAATTCCACTCAGACTTATACAAGCTTTTCATCCTTAATTTTTAAATACACACATGATTTTTTTAAACACTGTCAGGTATATACAAAAGGGAAATACGACATCCAAGCCAGATTGTGACTTTTAAAATAATGAACCTCTAAATAGCTAGCAATGTACAATGTGTAAAAGTCCAATAAAACACAGCAATATTATACTCTTACAGAAATGTCAGCTCTATAAAACTGAGCGATATTTACAAGCAAACATGATCCAAACAGCACATGCCAATTCAGGATAAGTAAACACTCTGACACGAACTGCCAGTCGCACCTGGTCTCCACGGCAACAGATAATTTCTTCACAGAAAGGAGACCTACAGAATAAAGAAAATTTCTTCAGTTAAAAATTGAAATGTTTTCCTCTCTTATTTCTAAGTCAAGTCAACATTTAAAATAATTTTTAAAAATCCTATCTCTGCTACTATTGGCTAATTTTGGTCAAGCTATTCAAATTATAGAGTATTTCCTCAGTGTCCATACATTTAAAAAATTATACTAGACAGTATCACAGATCCTCCACTGAGACTACACCGAAATTACTAGGAAAATTATCCTAAACTAGGGCTACACTGCAGACCTAATGAATCACAATCTGTGGCAAGGAGGGTTAAATAATTATAAAAGCTCCCAGTGTGATTCTGAAGTCATCCCTAAAAAACTATCAGACTGATTGCTAAAATTCCTAAGTAAAAAACATTTTTGAATTCATAAATTCCACCTTACCGAAGACATGTAGCAAATGCACGCCTTGCATTTCTATACACAAAATGTATTGGAAATCCTTTAAATGTGTGACCATCAGGTACAGCCCTCCTTATGGCATCTTGAAATTCTTCATTGCCTGCAGATATACTGGTTGTACGCTCAAATTCATAAGAAGCCAAAGCTGGCGATAAGAGATAGGAAAGTTGGTCTTCCCAAACAGTAGTGAGACCAAGATCCTATAGTAATTGAAAAAGAAAAGTGAAATATATTAATATTTTAAAAACCAATTAGTTATAATAGATGTTATTTTAATGCATGCCAAGAAAAGATTTTTTTTAACTGTCATAGTTTTTTAACTTCCTACTATTATACAGTTCATAGAAGTAAAAAAAAAGGAATTACAGGTATCAGGTTTTACTTCTTAGAGAAATAACCAAAAAACAATTCAATACAATGATATTAGCGAAGCTTCCAAATCCTGAACTTCCTTAATATCCATGAGAAAAGATGACATGGAGTAGTTCTACTATGGAACACAGTGTCACTGAATTTTGAGGTCACATTTTATGACTTTGAAGAATTTACTTAGATTGAATCTGCTTAATTTGATTATTCCTACCATAAATTCAACTGTAGTAAGGGGGAAAAGTCAACAAATGAATTGCATATAAACTCAACTATTTACTGAGCATTTGCTTTGTAAAAGATACTGACTTTAATAGAGTATTAAAACAATTGGTACTGGCACAAGAACAGACCCATAGATTAATGGAACAGAACCCAGATATAAACCCACCCATACATGGCCAATTAATCACAATAAAGGAGCCATGAACATACAACGAGGAAAAGACACCTCTTCAACAAATGGTGTTGGCAAAACTGGACAACTACACGTAAGAGAATGAAACTGTATTATTGTCTAACTCCATACACAAAAGTAAACTCGAAATGGATCAAAGACCTGAATGTAAATCATGAAACCGTAAAACTCTTAGAAGAAAAGAAAACATAGGGAAAAATCTCTTGAATATAAACATGAGCAATTTTTTCCTAAACACATCTACTAGGGCAAGGGAAACAAAAGCAAAAATGAATGAATGCATCAAACTAAAAAGCTTCTGTACAGCAAAGGACACCATCAGAACAAAAATCCTACAGTATGGAAAAATATATTTGTAAACAACACATCCAATAAGGGGTTAACATCCAAAATATATAAAGAGCTCACACACTTCAACACCCAAAAAGCAAATAACCCGATTAAAAAATGGACAGAGGATCTTAACAGACACTTCTCCAAAGAAGAAATTCAGATGGCCAATAGGCACATGAAAAGATGCTCCACATTGCTAATTATCAGGGAAATGCAAATTAAAACCACAATGAGATTATCACCTCACTCTAGTTAGGATGGTCAACATCGAAAAGACAAGGAACAAATAATGCTGGAGAGGATGTGGAGACAGGGAACCCTCCTACACTGTTAGTGGGAATGTAAACCAGTTCAATTGCTGTGGAAAGCAAGTTAGTTCAACCATGTGGAAAGCAATAATGGAGGTACCTCAATTCTACTCCTAGGAATTTACCCAAAGCAAACAAGATCCCTGATTCAAAAAGACATATGTACTCCTATGTTTACTGCATCACTATTTACAATAGCCAAGATATGGAAGCAACCTAAGTGTCCATCAGTAGATGAATGGATAAAAGGATGTGGTACATATACACAATGGAATATTATTCAGCCATAAGAAGAAAACAAATCCACCACTTACAACAGCATGGATGGAGTTAGAGGGTATTATGCTCAGTGAAATAAACCAGGAGAAACACAAGTAGCAAATGATTACACTCATTTGTGGAGTATAACAACAAAGCAAAACTGAAGGAACAAAACAGCAACAGACTCACAGGCTCTGAGAAGGGATTAGTGGTAACCAAAGGGAAGGGGTTAGGGAGGATAGGTGGGGAGTGAGGGGGAAGGGGATTAAGGGGCACTATAATTCACAATCACAATATAGGTAGGTCACGGGGAAGGCAGTATAGAAGGGAGAAGACAAGTAATGACTCTATAGTATCTTACTACACTGACAGACAAGTGACTGCAATGCGGGGGTGGAGGGGTGAGGACTTGATAACATGGGTGAATGTAATAACCACAACGTTGTTCATGTGAAACCCTCATAAGATTATATATCAATGACACATAAAAAAAAAAAAGAAACTATTGGTGAATTTGGAAATTTCTGAGTCTCAGAACTAAACTCTCATGACTTTCAAAACGCCAAGCTTCATAAAGGTAGGGGCTGAATTTGTTTTGTTCAGGGCTAGAACAGTGTGACTGGCTCTAACATACATGCCAAAAGTTATTAAATACATAAAGAAATTTAATAAACTGTACAAGACTACAAATTTACAAAAGTGTTATTTACCTTCCTATGTTCTGATACTAGTAGCCTTAGCTGCATTTCTATTTCATTGCTTGTTACTGAAGTATCAATCGTGGATGCACAAAGAGGTGGAAAGGGAGGAAGGGATGTTGTAGCTCCAGGAGCACACACAGATTTAATTGCTTCTTCACTCATGGGTTTCCATTTGGATTCATCATTCAAATTAAATATGCAGATTTCTACTGAGTCAGAGGGCTGACAATTTCCCAGGAACATCTGATTATTGAAAACACAACCAATTGTTCGGTATGGGTACAATGGTTTGGGCTGTTCAGCAACTGGAGGTTCATCAGGATTGGTAGATTTGTGGATATACCTAAAAAAAAAATTAATAATTTTATGATAACAACTTAAAAATTAAGAAGGGAGCATCTTATTGATGAAAAAATCATTCTAACACTTAAAGCCATAACTGTTCCCTGAACTAGAGTTTAACACTTGTTTTTCCTTCTTAGTTGCACAATTTGATTACTCTGTATTAATTGTATGGCACATCTTATGAAATAGAAACCAACTTTATTCCTTTGACACAAGAATATATTTTATGTATATTAAGATTAAAAACATTTATCTCAGATGACACAATTAAAATAATTTCACCATATATGATTAGCACTAAGCAAAATGATTATTAACCAGAGAAAAAGAGAACCAGTAAAATGAGAAGAGGGCTCAGGATTGTGCTTTTAGGAGCTGCAACATTTAAAGACAAAATGAAGGTACACTGAGAACAGCCAGAGAGTAATGAAACCTGAAAGATAATGCTATGAAAGAAGCTAAGGAAAGACTGTTCAAGGTGGAAGGGAACATTTAATTTTTTCAAAAATATGATGACAGGCAAAGGACTGAAAAAAATGTATAGGGGATCTACCAACATAGAGTTGGTGACCACATCAAATTTTTAAAAGAAATGATGATTTACAACTTGAACTTATTTTTAGGTTCAGGAATGATCATGAGGAAAAGCATGTGCCAATTTTACAAAATTAAAAATAAATATAATTAATTTTTTTACCAATATCATATTGGTATTTTAGGTGTATGAATTTTCTTAGAGTTTAATAGCTATCTTAATTGAAGTAATTTTTTATATACTCATCAAATGGGCTCTAATAACTAAAATGATCTATTATGTGCCTTTGAGTACCACAATATAAACAAAGAACCTATCAATTAAAACATGTATACCTTCATTTTAACATCTTTGTAAACTTAGTTGACAAACCTGTGTCCTGTTAAACTCTCCCAAAAAGTGATGGTTCCGTCAGTGCCACAAGTCATAACCCACGCATGAGGCACTCCTTTTGCCTTAGTCCCAACACAGACAAAGGCTTCTAATCCATACCCAAGAAGAAGGCTGCATAGAAGGTTAGCATGATCTTCACAATCACCCTAAGAAAATGAAATAAATCAAAAGTAAGTATTTATTCCTTCACATTTTCTTTGTTAAATATTTAAATACAAAATTACAATTAAAAAGTATCAATTTTTTTACTTTCAATCATTAGTCCAGTGTTAAACTGAAACAATGGGGGCAAAAAAGAGAATACACTAATTTTAGAAGAATCTAAATTACAAAGTCAGTACTAACAAATCTGAGAGTCATAATACATACACTTTTAAGAGGGCATTCAGATTCAAAATGAATCAAAATGACTATACAACACAGAAAAGCAGTAAGATTTTAAAGATGAATAGTTAAAGGACATGAACTGACAAGATGACAAATCATATAGCAGGAAATGCAAATAAACGGGAAAAAACTCAAACTTAATCAGTTACAATATCTATACATGATCATTTTAAGAAATATAGGAAAATGGGTGAAAGGGCAACAAAATGCCAACAATGGCTATAATTAGAGTAGGTTGTATATAATTTTCCTTTCTATTTTCTAAATTCTCTGACACTATTACTTTCACAATTAAAAAAAAATGAAAGCTAAAAGAAAACCAAAATATCTGATAATATGTTCTGTGAGAAAACATTACCAAAATATTAAACAGTAGGGCTACAATTATGTAAAGATACATATTTAAGTATTGGACTACAGGTAAAAGGCAAAAGCAAAAATAACTAATGAGTTCAGTGTTAGAATGACAATTTCTTTCCCCCAAAATTTTTCATTAGTGGCTCTACACTGTTGTTTTTTAATTACTCTACAAAAACCGTTGTATGATTAACTTTTGAAAAATATAATGTATACTTTTTAGACCCAGTAATTTCTATATTGAGATTTTACACTAAAAAAATACAAAAGAAAAATAACAATACAACCAACAATACTCAATGCAAAACTTCTTTCATAACAGTATTAAAAAACGGGAAGCAAGCAGCCAAAAGAAAGTTCCTATAATGGCAAATGGTTAAGTAGATTTTGAGTATCAACTCAAGAAAACTTTATACAGCCATTCAAAAACGTACATCATAAAGACATAGCAACACCTGGGAAAATATTAATAGCAGAATGCTGTTATAAAGCAGGACACAGAATTTTATTTGTATCTTAATTATAATTTTGGAAAAATTGATATATATAAAGGAGAAAACCGCAAAAACACAAAAAGAGATGAAAAATTGGTAGGAGAATTATGGGTGAAATTTCACCTTTACTGTTATAATGCTGTCATTTAAGAAAAATATTTTAAATTATTTTTAAGCTTCTAATTTAAGATGTACTTTTTCTTTAAACAAACTTAGGTAAACAGAACAGTGAATGAGAGGGTTGATTATTTGCTTTATAAAATAATTACTTAGATAATTTCAAATAGGCATCATTTCTACTATATTTGAAACAAAAAAGTTTAAATCTATACACAAAACTTTTAGGAACTATGCGTTGGGGATAAATCAAAACCAATTTTTTTTAAGTAATGTTTAACTCTTTTCAGTTGTCTTCCATACAGTATTTTTGACAAATCAATTTCTCAAGAGTTTCTTTCACTGTATAGCTTTACCTTGTGAATACTTGTACTAATCACATAACTTCAAACTAAACAAAATTATTTCAAAACAATACTAAACAAAATTATTTCAAAACAATACATTAGAATTTTTCTGTTGTTTCAATAGAATTGGAATGCTACAAGTAATCTTTTTTATAATATTATTAACAGATTAGGAAATATCCTGTAATCTATAAATTTTGTTTACTGAAATCAATTCACTTAGCATCTATAAAAGCACACAAATTCTTAAATACATACTTATGTATGAAACCAAACAAAATGCCATGCAATCCAAGATTTTTTCTGTATTCATTTTGTAGCGCTATTTTCTTTTAAAAAAGAAATACATCATCTAAGCAAATTTTAACACATGAATAGTACTAGAAGATTTTGTTTCTGGTCCTGGTACCACCTCTAACTCGCTGGTTAATTTACCTCTGTACTTGGGTTTCTAACACTATAGTACTTGTAGGTCCGACCTCACAGAAATCACATTTCATTAAATAAGAAAATACATTAAAAAAATTAAAATGTGGTTTTTTCTTTATGTACTGACATTGAAATGTTAGGGAAAATGGAGAAAACAAGATTCTAACTTGTTCAACTTGCCAATAAGTACATTTTTTTCTAAGCTAATTCTTTTACAAATATACCATAAATTCACAAAAACTATGATACACCGCTTTCTAATTCTATTGTGTGTGGGATACCTTGTTTCTACAGAGAAACGCCAGCAGAGTGCACCACTGCTCCTGTTTACCACCTCCTCCGATGACAGGGGCTCTTTCATAGCCCAGGACATTAACAAATCTTGCTGCTTGCCTTGGAGTGTCCAGAAGCCTCCCAGCTCGAAGAGGTTTAACATATGAACAGACTGGTCTATTTATCCCATTTTCATCCTAGAGGTAGAGGGGAAAAACATTGCCTATAATGACAGATTAATCATTCCCAACTTTATCACTTTTTCTGAGAATACATTAATGTGTGATAAAATAAATCTGGGTATGGCTGGTGATACAGCACTGTGCATACAATTTCTCTTTTAATCCTCTGAACATCTCTTATTACTTTCACATTGTAGATGAAGAAACTGAAGTTAACAGCTATCATGCAACACAGCCAGGATTCAAACCCTGAGCTGTCTGACTCCAAAGACTGTGGCAGTAAGAACCTGAACTATCGTAGGACCCTACAACCCCAGTCCTGGATATATCTCTGAAGCAAATGAAAGCAGTATCTCTGCACAGCCATGTACAATGCAGCAGTATTCATAACAGCCAAGATACCGAAACAACCAAAATGTCCTTCAATGGATGAATGGATAAAGAAAATGTGGTATACATATTAAATGGAATACTATTTGGTCATTAAAAAAAAAAGATCCTGCCATCTGTGACAACATGGATGAAACTGAAGGGCATTATGCTAAGTGACATAAGCCAGGCAGAGAAAGACAAATACTGTATGGTATCACTTACATGTGGAATTTTAAAATCTTAAAAAAAAAATATTAAATGGAATACTATTTGGTCATTAAAAAAAAAAGATCCTGCCATCTGTGACAACATGGATGAAACTGAAGGGCATTATGCTAAGTGACATAAGCCAGGCAGAGAAAGACAAATACTGTATGGTATCACTTACATGTGGAATTTTAAAATCTTAAAAAAAAAATAATAAAAAAGCTGATTTCATAGAAAAAGAGAATAGAATGGTGGTTGCCAGGGGATGAGGGAAGGGAAAAATGGGGTGATGAAGATCAAAGGGTACAAAATTTCAGTTATAAGAGGAGTAAATTCTGAAAATCTAATGTACAGCATGGTGACCACAGTTAATATAGCATTGTAAACTTGAAAGCTGCTGAGATACATCTTAAGCATTCTTACCACACACACACACAAAAAGAGTAACCTACATGAGGTGATAGATGTGTTCATAATCTTGATCTTGGTAACATTCCACAATGTGTATGTAGACCAAATCATCACACTGTATACTTTAAATATATACAATTATGTTTGTCAATTATTCCTCAATAAAGTTAAAAAAACAAACAACAAGAATTCATTTGAGAAAGGATAGGCAGGTCGGTTGGGGATGGAAAAAGGATCTAAACTGAAGTATTCTTTCATATTAGTATACAGATTCAATAATATATATCTATATAGAACAAATAACTTTTTTGATTAACTGATAAAGCAATGATCACAGTTCATTTTTAACTTGTTTCCATTATACTTGAAGATCCACAGTAAAAAATGATTTGTTAACCAAGTTACCTGAAAGCAGAGTTTTGAAAATTATTTTAGGAAAGTATCTCACATTTTAAATACAGGATGTATCCTCGCACTGGAGCTGAATAACCACTTTGCATACAAGAGTCTCTGATGACGATATGCCACTGTGCTTTTAGAATTAATCTACCAAAGCCCATATTTCCCTTAACTTCATGATTACTGAGATGACAAAGTCAGAGGACCACTTTCTACTCAAAGTTCAAAGACTTTAATACTCTATCATGGCAAGGCTCCTCAGAAATCAGATCTAATTCAACCAATAGAAACACCAACTGTTTGAATGACCAGAATCCCTGATGTCTTTCTACATCACAAATACATTACTTCTCCAATATAATCCCATACCTCAGCAAGAGTGGGGAGGGGGAAACCTCACTTTACACTTAATTATAATGAGAAAGATCATGAATTTTTATATGATGGAAAGTAAAATGACTATTACGATTTTTACTCATATCTATGGTTCTCAACTCTGTAAGGCACATACCTCTTTCTCCCTGTCTTCTCCCACCCCACACTACCTCCCTCCCTCTAACACATTGACCATGGTCTCTTACTCTCCTCCATACTGCACCTTCATTGTTAAAATAGAAACGGAATGAAGGGATCAACTATAAGAGCTCACACAGAATGAAGAACTAAGGACAGGTAAGGAAACTAAGAAACAGAAAAGGAAAGGCAGAAGATAGAAGTTTAGGGTATTTTAAAGCACTAAGTTTTAAAATAAAAATCACGATTCCAATTTTGGAAACAAAGAAAAAAACTATTTGGATTTCTTTTACAATACTTGGATTTTTTCCACATTAACTCAGCATTAATGATAATCTTGTGTAGTATGAGAAAGTCCTTAAGTCACAATATTAAAAAGATGGCCTCAATTCTCGATTTATAATTTTTAAAAAACTGAATGGTCTTAGAAGTCAACTTCTATAATTTTAAAATTTCTTGCAGTAGAAAATTTAAAAGTCACCCTTAAATGAACTACTATTGTAGCTTCAAGCAAAGCCAGCTAGTGAAGGAGGAAAAGTAGAATGGATTATTAAGCATAATGACACTGCAGATTCTACAGATATTTGGTTAGGATACAGATAGTTAATTCTGTTCCTGTGTGGGCCAGTTAGTCTTATTCTTACAATTCCACTATCAGGCTAGAAAGGGATAAGTACCTAAAAAGGGATGCATTTGTCCCAATCAATCATCAACAGCAGCATCTCAGCCTACAAGATACATCATTCTATGTTTTGTAGAGCAGTATTTCCAGTAATATCTAAATATATCCCCATAAACTACTTGAAAGTCTTGAGAAGTTCAGTATTTCAGCCTCTAAACCTTCAGTGTCCAGTAAGAATGCCACTAACCATATGTTAAATTCAGTTCTTTATCACATTAGTCATACTTTGTATGCTCAAAAGCCATTTCTGACTAGGGGCTACCATATTGGACAGCACGGATATAAAACACTTCTGTAACTGCAGAAGTTTTATTGGATAGTGCTGCTGTAAACTATTTCCTCTTGAAGCACTGGAAATTCATTCTAAGACCATGTATAGTAGTTTTTTTGTTTTCATACTATAGTCCTGTTATTAGACTGACTGCCTTAAATAACTGCTGTTCTTAAATTCCATATCCGGTCAAACACAGGAAGCAGCAGCAAGAAACACCTCTGGGGAATCTAAGGTAAATATTTTATTTACTTTCTATGTACGGTAACAAGCGGCAGCCAAACCAAAAAAGCACAAGGCAAAATTGCAATTTAATGGAGCCAGCCCCAACTGAATTGCTATTTGATCTTAGAAAAGACTCCTCATATCTCTATCCCTCATATCATTTATAAAAGGTGGCAATGCCTGGCCACTTGACACTCTCACATGGTTACCATCAGATTAAATGACTTATGTGATTCAAATCTTAAAATGAATTTAGACAGGAATTTAAGTAATATTTCCTAAAAGAAATTCGCCATTCCTTGAGACCTGGCACATTCCATCCTCTTCTTCCTCCTCTTTCATATGCCATTTCTATGACCCACTTCCTTTCTCCTCCCCCTTCCAGTCCTAGATTCCACCGGGCAATGAACAACCTAACCTCAAAACAGACTACAGGGAGTCAGTTATATTTTGACTGGTTTCTCTTCACCCTTGTCCTGATATCACTTCTACCTTACCTGTCCATTCATTCAACAAATAGACAATGCTACCAGAAAGTCAGGAGCCTTTCCTCTTTTTTCCGCCACTAGTCAACTAGGGGGTTTCCCATTCCCAAGCTCAACCAGAAATTGAGCCACTTTTAGCTGTCCTAAAATCTAGGGGATGAGGGATAAAGCTAGAAGAATGTACAGAATTTGAGAAATACAATTCAAAATACTACTACACTATATTCAAATAAAAGCATCTGGGGTTCCTGAATATAAGCATGAGCAAATTCTTCCTGAACACATCTCCTCAAGCAAGGGAAACAAAAGCAAAAATGAACTCATGGGACCACATCAAACTAAAAAGTTTCTGTACAGCAAAGGACACCATCAACAGAACAAAAAAGCATCCTACAGAATGGGAGAATATATTTGTAAATGACATATCCAACAAGGGGGTTAACATCCAAGATATATAAAGAACTTAGATGCCTCAACACCCAAAAAGCAAATAACCTGATTAACAAACAGGCAGAGGAGCTGAATAGACAGTTCTCCAAAGAAGAAATTCAGATGGCTAACAGACACATGAAAAGATGCTCCACATCACTAATCATCAGGGAAATGCAAATAAAAACCACAATGAGATATCACCTCACACCAGTAAGGATGGCCAATATCGAAAGGACTAAGAACAACAAATGCTGGCAAGGATGTGGAGAAAGGGGAACGCTCCTACACTGCTGGTGGGAATGTAAGCTAGTTCAACCATTGTGGAAAGCAATATGGAGGTTCCTCAAAAAACTAAAAATAGAAGTACCATTTGACCTGGGAATCCCACTTCTTGGAATTTCTCCAAAGAATACAAGTTCTCAGATTCAAAAAGACATATGCTTCCCTATGTTTATTGCAGCACTTTTTACAATAGCCAAGATATGGAAGCAACCTAAGTGTCCGTCAGTAGATGAATGGATAAAGAGGTGGTACACATACATGATGGAATAACATTTAGCCATAAGAAAGAAACAAATGCTACCATTTGCAACAACATGGGTGGAGCTGGAGGACATTATGCTCAGTGAATAAGCCAGGTGGAGAAAGACAAGTGCCAAATGATGTCCCTCATTTGTGGAGTATAACAAGGAAGCAAAACTGAAGGAACAAAATAGCACCAGACTCGGAGACTCCAAGAAGGAACTAGTGGTTACCAAAGGGGAGGGGTGTGGGGGGAGGGGTGTGGGAGGGAGGGAGAAGGGCATTGAGGGGTATTATGTTTAGTACACGTGGTGTAGGGGATCACGGGGGAGAACAGTGTAGCACAGAGAGGGCACATAGTGGATCTGTGGCATCTTACTACACTGATGGACAATGACTGCATTGTGGTATGGGTGGGGACTTGATAATATGGGTAAATGTAGTAACTACATTGTTTTTCATTTGAAGCCTTCATAACAGTGTATATCAAAAATACCTTAATAAAATATTTTTTTAAAAAAAGCATCTGGGGTGACCCTTGAACAAAACAGAGGGTTAAGAGTGCCAACCCCCCATGAAAATTGCATGTATAACTTTTGACTCCCCAGAAACTTAGCTAACAGTCTATTGCAGATAGGAAGCCTTACCAGTAACACAGTCAACACATACTTTGTATGTTATATACTGATAATAATGTATTCTTAAAATAAACTAGAGAAAAGAAAATGTTTTTTCAAATTGTTGTACATTTCCAAAAAAATTTCTGGTATATTTATTTTAAAACATCCATGTTCAAGTGGACTTGTGCAGTTCAAACCTGTGATGTTCAAGGAGCACTATATTAGGCTGAATACGTATAAAATATTTGAATAGTTCCTCTACAAAAATACATAGATCTGATCATACATTTTATGTTGGTTTGTTATTGAGAGAAAAGTGGACTTAGGATACAGGAAAATTAGAGGCAAAACGTATAGTTAAAATGCTGAAATTAAATATTACTGGTCATTAGCTTAGAGATCTTGGTTTTATAAAATCATTACATGTAATATTGTTTGTCTTAAAAAAAGAACCAAAAAAACCCTAAGATAAAAACATACATGCCCAGAACCCGTTTTGTACATAAAAGCTGAATTTAGATATAAATTACGAACTGTCCTACTAGCTAATTACTTAGTACTAAGTATCAATCAAGGACACACCCAAGTTAAACAAAATGGGTTTTCATCTACTTTAAGTCAAATATATTAAAAAAAGGTTTAATAAACAATAATTGATAATGAAGTATAAAAGTTACGTCACTTATCCTCAATGAAATTTTTACAGAATCAGCATTCTATTTTATATCTGTCTGCAATAAACACATTTTATTAAATCAAGTTAAAAATTTACATATACAACAGTAAATCTTAAATACTTACAAACCTGTGCAAAAATCTTAACCAGCCTTGAGTTGTGTGAGGGTCGAATTTGCAAATATTCTCTCCACCACTGCTTAGCATATACAAGAAATAATCGCTCTTTCTCTGCAGTTTTCTGACGTTCCAAAGCAAGCTTGAAATTTAAAAAAATATTTTTCAATTTCTATTCATTCTCAGTTAGTACAAAACATGTAACGTATCTATGCATTTCTCCCCATCTTTACCAGCATCCTAATCTAAGTCACCACCATCTCTTTAAGAGCCTCTTAACTGACTGCATTGTTTCTACACTTCTCCCAGTACAACCCAGTCTCCAGATGTGTTCTTTCTTCCACAAAACAAATATTTTTAAATAATAAATCATGTCATTCTCTTGCTTAAAACAAATAAATGATAATTTTCTACAAAAAAGTTAACTTTTTATGAAAACAAATATGCAAACAGGAATTCAGAATTATTTACCTGTGTGTTCACTACTTCTTGAGATAATGCTTGATTGAGTGCGGGGTACATCTCAAGTTTTACATTTAAAATTCCCACAGAAACTTTTGATTCTGTACCTATAAATATAAATAAATATTTAGAACTTCAGAGGTTTCAATACTATGTATATTCAGTCAATCAATGTCTACTCAAAATAACATAAGCATTTGTGCTTTACCACTTACATGGAATAAAGGTAAATATTTAACATTACCTTTAATATCCTTATTAAAAATGAATCAAATTACATTAGTTATTATTTTGTACAAAAGCCTTTATCTAATTACATTTTAAGGGACTGTGGGCCTGAAAAGACTTGAGATTCTTATTTTTTATCTGTTAAATATAAAATACCAGCCAGACTTACATTAAAAACAGTTGAAACAACTGTTAACACCTTAGTCTCAGAAAACATTTATATTTTTGACATACATAGTAATTTCCATTAATCCCTTCCCATTTTTCACATGTAAGTATAAACTTTCAATCCATGCCTGCATTTAAGGAATTAGAAAATGAATATTCACACCAGAACTACTTAATAGTACTTTGGTGAATCAGAATACACCTGTTTCTGGGTCACTATAATTATCATGTTAGGCCTATATCTGAATACAAATAATAATAGGTATCTCTTTTGAAAATATAACTTTTCCTCCTACTTAAAAAAAAAAAATCCTGAGTCTGACTTGCTAAAGTCTGAATTACTAAAGCAATACTGTGTACTGGCCAGCTTTAACTCTCTGACTAAATTTAATATTTAAGAATTCCATTATATATTACACATAAAACACTGATTTGCTTTTGTTTTTAATTATATCAGCAAATATGCATTGCATATCAAATAGTAAGCAAAAGTCCAAGGAAACAATGGTGAATAAAATAGGTATTACCGTATTATCTATATTCGAGTACTATTCATTGATCCTGACATTAAGCAAGTCAGCATGTCTTTTTGAGTCATACCTTCCAACATGTAGACAGTTAGAATACCCTCTCTATATTCCATAAGAGCCACTGCTGCAGAAAGCCACTGATACTAAGGGGGATGTACTATATATTCTGAGGTATGCTGGAGCGGAGGATTTTGTGTATTTGTGCATGCAAATGTGTGGAGAATCTTAATTTTCTTTATAGCCTTATATATAATCAAATAAACTTGAAAAAAAGCCCTAAATTTTTCTATATTCATTTCCCAGAAAAGAAATTTTCCTTGAGACATCAGACTGACTGAAATTCTACACTCACACTATTCTTCAAGACATATCCCAAGATTATAATACTGGAGGTCCAGTTGTAATTCTAAATGAAATCTTTTTACATGTTTCCCTCTTGGTTTATAAAGGCATTAAAAATTATAAAATGCATTTATAAAAAACTGTGGTGGAAAAAGGTAATAGTGATATTAATTATCATACCTACACCCATAAGTTCCACAGTAAGATTGGTCACTCCATTTTCTGAGCCCAAAACTGATCGCCATTCAAGGAAATAGGATGCTACTAATGTGGTCTCATCAAATATGTCTGTTTTTATTAGGACCATATGAATTGGATCACTTATTGATAACATTGTTGTAGAATCAGCCATTCTAGTTCCATCACCTAGCAACATAAACCAAAACAAATTACACTGTATGACATATTCAGTTAGAAAATTTATATTGAAAAGGATACTAAGAGTAAACTTATATAAAACCAAAGAGAAAAATTTGGTAATGCCTCTGAAGGCATAATACAGACTGGGAATAAAAGAAGTACAGTCTTATTTCTAGTTCTAACTTTTGAGATGACTGGTAGAATAGCGACAAGTTACCTAGTTACTCAATGCCTATCAGCGTTTTCTGATCTTTAAGAGATGTCTGTTCTTCAAAAGTACTTGAGTATATACTACTATAATAAAAAGCCTTCCATTATGTCAACATTAATCCCCAAACTACCTATATCCCTAAACCTCCAGAAATAATCACTGTATTATCTACACAAAACTCAAAAGATCCAGCACCATGGAGTTGGCATTTTAAACCATTAACTGCCTTATTAGGGTAACATTTTTCAACAAGGAATATCAAGAAATCAGTTTTAGTAGTGCATTAGCCATCTTAGTAACCTAAAACTCTGAAGGTATATATAATTCTACAACTTTGCTAAGTTTACAAATATATTATAAAAATTTCTATATGGACAACTAAAATGTATAAGATACCTTTATAGAAAAAGTGTAAAATAATTACAGGAATCAAGTACCATAAGTTTAAAGTTATAAATATCAGTTATACATTCACAACTAAATCTTGATTTTAAGTCATGTAACATCATAAATCTAGCCCTCTTTCATAAATGAGGTGATCATGTCTTATTCTCCACTATATTCCAAGCACTTGCTTAGCACAGTATCATGTACCTAATAAGCATTTAAACGTTTACTACTAAAGAACCAAGCATTAGAACAGTCAAAAAATAATCTTCAGGGAAGATAAGTAGAAAATAGAGTAGGTAGAAGTTGTTTATACAGAAAAGAGTGGTGGGCGAGTGGGGGTAAAAGACAAAAGACCAAGGAGATTCACCCAGTATAAGTCCTCCTTAGGGGAAAAGTTGTTATAGTTGCTCTGCAATAAAACCTAACAAAGATCTACTCAATTAATGAAACTTATTATTGCTCCTTACCTAAGCTTTCTCTGTGTACTTCAAGTAAAAAGCCATCATGAAAATCTGGTTCACAGGCACATGGAACAGGTTTAGAACGAAAACGTTGGTTTCGAAAATGTAAACATAAAGTAAAGGTTGAACAGACTTGTCCTGGTAAAGGCTCAGGTTCTTGCAGATGTTCCAAGAAAGCTTTTCCACCCAAAACCTGAAGGTAAAGATACCTCCGTGTTGGATCAATATTAGCTGTAAAGTGTAGCAATATATATGAGGAAACTGCCAAATAACTTAAGGAATATGATCAAGACAACAGGAGATAATAAGTTGACAAAAATAAAACCAAAGACTTAAAAAAGGAAAAGAGTACCAAATTCACTATGTATCAGGTCTATTTGTACCCAGGGAAGAAAAGATACATAATAGGATATTTTTTCAGAATTTACACTTTGGAGTCAGAGCCAAGGTTTAAGATATCTTTCCTTTTTAGTTGCTTATCCAACATTCCTTCACCTCCAAAAACCAACTCAAACCAATTATCAACTCAGCAAGTATGCTTGTTTGGTTACACATTACCCTTAAAAAACCAAGGCTGTACAATTTTTATAAAATACACTATTCCTAAAACATGAAAAACAGGTGATCCTGTTTTTGCTTCCACTTTGCTAAGCATTAAATTAACTCTCCTGATATACTTCACACAAAACAGAATCTAAGTCTTTTGGCAGACTAATCACAACAATTTAGCTATTTCATTCTTGTAAAAAAAAATCAAAATGTTTTCTACCAAATACTGAACTCTACAGCATTATCAATATGCAAAACTATCCCAAGAAAATTAATGTTAAAAAGAAATACACTTACTTTTTTTTAATGTTGATTGTCTATCACTAAAACAAACAGGTTGTTTTGGAGAGGAAGGGATTTCTTGATCAACACTGTCCTAGAAAGCAGGAAAAAAAATCAAAAACAAATTAGAAAACAAAAATTACAGTTAAGCAAGGAAATGCCAATAATGAGAGTTAGAACTGAACCAAAAGTAGATAGGATAAAGACCCCACAAAAAATTCCTTATTTTCTATGCATAATTAAATTAATGAAAAGCCTGCAAAAAAGATGATAGAACTGGTCACTCCCAAAGTCTAGTATTATAGAATTAAATTAAATCTTCAAGCGGTGTCCACAGAATGCTAAAAACAAATCCTTGATACCTTAAACAAGGTTAAACTTTCTCTAAACTTCATAAATCATTTAACTTATGATTCCAGCATGAACTGATTTGAATAAAGAAGTGACATTCACACAGAAGTTATTAGGTCAATTTTTAAAACAAATGGGTTCATAAACCTCAAAAACCAAAAAAGGTGACTGTATTAAAATACTTATTCCCTGGTGTATTATGAAGTCCATCCAACTTTTACATTACCCAGGTATTGAGGTCACAGTTCTCATTATTGCTTCAAGAGGCCTACTTACTAATTTGTGCACTGAGAGTTATCATCTCACTACTGACCTATCTGTATGAAAGGACTTGCAGTTTCTTACATAATTATTTTTGGAAAAAACTGATAATGTTAATCACAAGAATGAGTGAATTTTTAAAATAAGCTTAATTTTAAAAAATTACAGAATAATATTGGTGAAAAAGAACTAGGTTATGGCAAACTAATTTGACTAAAATACATATAAAAGTTACAGACCTAGAGAATAACAAAAGAAAATTCTGTCACTGTAAAGAGGACACAGTATATAATTCTGATTTCATTGATACATAATCATACTTGCTACATTCAAGGATAGAGTTAGCCATTACTTGAAACAAGGATATTACTAGACAAAATGTTCTTTAAAACTAATTTAAAGTGGTTTTACTAAAAAGAGGCCCCAAATATGGACCCTGTAAGTAGTAGTAAGCATGAGAATATACTCGCAAAATATTTCCCCTAAAAGATTACTCACAGTAACAAAATTTAGTTCTTTCATCACATCATCAATGATACCCCGACGTCTAAGGGCTTTGATCAAATCTTCTGTTGATAAATGTTGTTGATCAGGTGCCAATTCTTCTCGTATTGTCTCAGCAAGAATTTCTCTTATTCTGCCATGGACATCCATCTACACAGAACACTCGAGTTACAATTCACATTACAAATCAGTCAAATATTGCCAATTAGCTAATTTCTTTCTAAAATATTGACTCAAGGAAAAAAATTATGGGAGAATAGTTAGACAATTCTGGAAGGCTTCTCAAACTAAAATGTAAAAGTGTTAGCAGAATTCAACAAGCATAAGTATATGCTTTTCTTTTTAAAGGAAAAAACGAAAGTATTCTTTAATGAAGTTTCTTAGTACAAATTCTGGAAATAATCCCTACTGGCTATCTACTACCAGCTTTGTTACCATTTCCTCACAAATAATCCTCAACCCAAACAAATTTTTTGAGAGAGAGTATTGTGTAATCAAAAGAACACAGTCCTGGAGCAGGTCATCGAAGTACGAATTTCAGCTTTCAGATTTTTAGATGTGACCTTCGGTTAACTTATTTAGTCTCTGGAAAAAATAGTGCCCTGTCAAGCTTATAGTGAGGCTTAGATAAAAGACCTTATACACTTCGCACAAAACCTCCCATACAAGTGAACAATAAACGGTAGCTTTTTACTACTTCAGCTTATTGCATTCAGTTAGCACCTCAAAGACACAATGATGTTCTTGAGCTTCAAAGTATCACAAATACTTTCATTATATGAATCCTTTAGTAACTTCAAGACTTTTTAAGAATTGCTGGTTTGGTCCAACTTCAGTGATACGGCGTTTCACCCTTAAAGTCATTCTAATTCCTGACTCTGAATATAAACCTGCTCCAAGCACAACTTATACTCGATTTTACTTACAGAAATCGCTGGATGAATTCTTCTTTTTCACCGTCCTATCATACGAACACCGTTCTATCACCTCGGTGATAGAACTTTGTGGCACTTGGGCTTGTTCTCGCTCATTGAGGCTAGAAGTTCTTCTGGCTTCAAACCCAAAGCTTTGCCCATCCCGCGCTCGAGTCCTGGGCAATCCTGTGTGCAGCGGGCCAGGCCCGAGGCTGCGGACCGCAAGGCGGGCAGGAGACCCGAGCTCACCCAGCACCGCGCCCCTCACCTTGCTCAGCTGCTGATGGATGAGCTGTTTCAGCTCAGAGGCCTTCTCCGGAGGCAGCGACATGCTGGGGCGGGCGCCTTGCCTCCTTTGTCGCCGTTTCAGGTGTCCCAAAAGCGCAGCGCGGCGCCTTCCGCTCGGCCCCGAGCGTCAGTCGCGGAAGAGCACAACGCCAGCGCGACCGGTCGCCTCGCGCCGCTCGCGGGGGGCGTGACGCTGGGCCAGGCCCGCCGCTGCGCAGGAGCCGAGCTGCAGTGGCGGCAGCGCCCAACTGTCTTTTCAAACGGCGGAGGACAGCCTGGCCCCGGGGCTGCCCCCGCCTGCCTGATCTTCTTCCCCGCCTGCCGCTCACCCTCCGTCAAGCTCTCCACCCCGCGACCTCAGCACACCCCAGCGCCCCGCCTTCCCGGGTCTCCCGATGCGCTACCCTCACCCCTTCCTCTCCACTCCGCGTCCCTTTCTGCCCTCCAGACCGGCAGGTAGCTGGTTGCAGCCGTCAGGACCCCGCGCCCAGGGACTCGAAGGACCCCGGCCAGCCGGCTCCGCCTCGCTCGGGCCGCGCGGGGCTCCAGGGACTCCGGCAGGTGGACTCGGTGCTGAGCTGCGGCTTCCACCCTGCTGCAGCCTTGATTCTTCCCAGGCCTTCTCCCATCCTCTTCCTCCCACTTGAGTGCGACATGTTTGTTCCTTGCGGGGAGTCGGTCCCCGACCTCGCGGGTTTCACCCTCCTCATGGTGAGTCCCTGCTTTCACCAGCTCTCTCCTGCCGACCTGGGTCTGCGACCTCTGCAGAGGACCCGCGGCGTTTCTTTCACCCGGTCAGGGACAGAGAGGGTGCTTGTTTCTATTTCAGGTTCTCAGCCTTCACTGAAAACACAGGGAGGTTGTCGCTGGAGGCAGCAGTCCAGACAGAACCCTTTTTTAATTGCCATCACCAAGTGTATCTGTCCATAGTTGGTAGTCTTTTTTACTGTAAAACGTAGTGTGTTCGAATGTTACAGATACGTCGTACAAAGGACGTCCGGGTCGTACATTTCATCTTAGAAAATATCTTCTCAACTAGTTTCAGTCATTCTTAAACCAGCAAGTCATTGTCATTAACCAGAAACCTACAGATAGTGTAATAAAAGTAACTTTTGCCAGTAGCTAACAAACTATTTTATTGCCCTTACAGTTGCTCATATTCATTCAGTGTCTCAATAAACATTGTACTATGTGAAAATATTAGAACAAGACTACGTTCTTATCCTCAAGGAGTTTATAGTCTAGTTGGAAACAAGTGTAAATCAGTAAGGGTAATAAGTGCTAGGGTGTGAGTTTGGAAAGGTACAGAAAGGTCCTAGGATATATTGGGAAGGGGTGGGACACAGGGCCTGTTAAGATGTTAAGAAAAGCTTCATATGTAGATCTATAAAAACAAACGCAACAGTGAACTCATAGACATAGTGGGGCGCATTTGGGTGAAATGGGTGAAGGGAGTCAACGGGTACAAACCTCCAGTTAAGTAAGTCCTGGGGATATAATGTACAGCATGGTGACTACATGTAACAATACTGTATTGTATATTTGAAAGTTGCTGAGAGAGTAGATCTTAAAAGTTTTCATTACAAGAAAAGTATGTGTAACTATGCATGGTAACTAAACTAAATTTTTTCTGGTAATTTTGCAATATAAACCTCTGTGAAGTCATTATGTTGTACTCCTAAAACTAGTACAGTGTTACATGTCAATTATATCTCAATTTTTTTAAGTGATGCCATTTTCACCATAATGCATGCAGAAAATACCAATGAATGCCAAAATTAGCATGTGATAGTGTGCTGCGGAAGAAAATTTTACATCATTTTAAAATACCTTCCTGAAAAATATTAATCATAAAAGAGAAGAGTATTTTTGCAGGAGATGTCTGGCAGGAAAAAAGCTTTATAGAGAAAGTAATGTCTAAAATATTGTTGGTGTAACCTTGACAATCAGTGGAGTGATGAAGAGGGAAGCCGTATTGCAGTGGGTTGAATAAATGGGAGAAAAGATGGAAACGTATGTATGTATTTGTTCACTTATTCAGAGATAAAGTTCCTGCTGATGTTTTAGTAGCGAATTTTGGCTATGGAGGGATGGGGTCAGGGGAGGGTTTTTTAGAAGGAAAGATGTTAGAGAGTGTGATATGCTGATGGGAAGAATCCAATAGTGAGGAAGAGATAGATGATGCGGGAGATGCTCCCAAAGTAGAAAAATCTTTGAGAAGAGAAAAGAGAATTACAGGAGATAACCAGGGAGTAAGTAGATGACAGTCATGAGAAGTAGCAGACCACTCTGAGGGACCCAGAAAAATATGAAGGCCCCAAAAAAGTAATTGCTAAAAGAATGCAAAGGAAGAGCTACATTAAAGAGATACTTTGGAGTTAAAATCAATGAAAATTAGTTGTGTATTTGATGTGGTTGGGAATGGAAAGGGAAGAAGTTTCTTGGTTAGGTAATTGGGTGAGTAATTGTTACTCTTTTCTGAAATACAGAATACAGGGACAGGTTTGGGCAAAATATTAGTTTTGTATATGTTGAATGTGAGTTGCCGGTGACATTATGTGAAGATAGGCACTAGGTTCTAGAGTTCAAGGAAGTGTTCTGGGCTGTAGGTAGAGATTTGGCAGTTGGGCTTTTGTCTTGGGTATGTGTGTGTGTAGTGTGAAAAATGCTTACTCTAAACTTTAGGCACTAACAAAGCAAACAGAAGGAAATGTGTGTGTGTGTGTGTGTGTGTGTAGTGTGAAAAAAACTCTCACTCTAACCTTGAGGCACTAATAAAGCAAACAGAAGGAAAACGCAAGAGCACTTCTCATACCTCAGCCTTCACTTGCTTTCCCACTGCCAGCAATATTCCACAGTCTTTATGTGGCTCTCCCTTACTTCTTTCAGGTCTGTTGTTAACTTGGAACCTTACGGGAGCCTTTCCTTGATCACTGTATTTAAAATTGCAACCAGCCACATAAATACACGCTGTCACTCAATTTTTCTCCATAGCACTTGTCACTGTATATTTTACTATTTATTAAATTATTACAGTAAACCACTCCCTCACTAGAATGGAAGCTTCAGGAGAGCAGGAACTTTTGTCAGTTTTTTTATTGTATTCCCAATGCCTCCAGCAATGATTGACACATAGTAGGTGTTCGTTTTAAACCAGTCGTCTCAAAGGTGAAGGAGACTCCTGCTGACACCTCAGTTGCAACTAATGAAAGTCAGTGTCTAGCTATGGTGTACCTGGGCGGAAGCGTTCAGTATTAGTGCTGTGATTACTTTCTTCTAAGTTTTGAAAAGTACTGCTATTTTGATGATTAAATGAATGTATTTTTTATTATTTCAGCCAGCAGTATCTGTTGGAAATGTAGGCCAGCTTGCAATAGATCTAATTATTTCTACACTGAATATGTGTAAGATTGGTTACTTCTATACCGATTGTCTTGTGCCAATAGTTGGAAACAATCCATATGCAACTGCAGAAGAAGATACAACAGAACTCAGCATAAATGCTGAAGGTATGTATGTATGACTTCAGCTTGTTTTATTCTACTACAAGGTAGAGTTGTTTTAAATTAGAAGTAGACCTTAAGGATACTGTTTTGTAGCAACCATTTACTTAGTGCCAGCTTTGTGCAGAATTTGTGACCCAGTCACACTGTCCTATTTATTCTCTTACATCTAGGTTTTAGTTCTTAGCTTCTTTTAGGTGACAACTCCTTTGAGGGATGTGACTGTGCCATATCTTTGGAAAGAGTTTGTGATTTCAATTTTTTTAACATGAATTTTTTTCTCCCTTTATCCTCAGTTTATTTTCTGTTCTTACTGGCATGTGTAACCATCACTAATAGCAAGAAAAGGGGAGAAGAAAATTCCACTGGGCTCAGTCCTAAATGTTTAATATGTGCTACTTCATCTAAGCCTCATAGTCATGCTCCACATTGTTACAGAATCCATAATAATAATATATCAATAGGGCTCAGAGAGACTGAGTTGCTGAATTCTTCTAGTATAGGCTTTTTGCATACCATAAATCTCCAGTGGGACTGCACTACCAAGTTCGATTAATCAGGGACATGATGTACAGTGTGGGGCCGCCATGTTTATGGTGCGGAACTGCGCTGAGTGAGAAGGAGGAGAGCTGCTGATGAGGCACGCAAGTGTGCAGTTACTTGGTTTGAGGGCCAGCTGCTCTGTTAGCCTCTCAAGTCTCCTGTTCACCATTTTAAGGTGAAAGCCAAAGGTGGTAGAGGAGCATGAAAGGCCACTGGCAGTCTAAAAGACAAATGAAGGAGCATTTTGGGTTTTGTCAGTCTTATTAACCATGTCATTAGCTTGCAATAATGAAATACACTTTCAAGAAGTAACTTTAATATTGAAATTCCTATAAGAAAGATGGCTTTGTTAATATAAGACTGAATTTCAGTTATGCCTTAAAGGTTAGAAGACTTTAAATTAGAAATGGTAGAATTAGAGTTTATATGCTTCCACTAATGCTAACGACTGTCAACTGTCATTTATTGACTATTTTCTGTGAAGCAGAACACTGAGCATTTTATGTATTAATTCATTTTTAATCTTTATAGCTACTCCATTGGTAGTTTTATGAATGAGGAATCCATGGTACAGAGAAGTTAATAATTGTTGTAACTGAGCTTCTAATCAAGGCACTGTGGCCCCTGACACCTGCCTCTTAAGCACCACAGCACTCTGCTAATGCAGCTTCACTGTTGAGGAAGACTCACTGGCTTGACATAAACTGGCAGCAGTCTAATTGAATGTAGTTCTTTGATCCATTTTATTATTTTTTTAAGATAAGGTATTTCAAAATAAATTATAGATCTCATGACATTCCACCCCAAATATGTAAGTATGCATCTTTTAAGAACATTTTCTTACAAAGCTGAAATACCATCACATGTAACAAAATTTTGCAATTTCTTAATATCTTCCTATATCCTATCTTTATTCAAATTAGCCCATTTTACCTCATTTAAAGCTAGTTTGTCCAAACCAGGATCCATAATACATCTGGTTGTTGTGCCTTTGAATCTCTTTCACTCTAGAGTAGTTCTTTTTAATCCTTCTCAAAATTGATTTATTGAAGAAAAAATAGGACAAATTGTCCTATAGAAGGTCCCACTTCTACATTTGTTGATTACTTACTTGTGGTGTTGTTTGGCTTATTCCTCTAGTCTCTGTATTTTCTGTAACTGGAATTAGGTCCAAAGGCTTGATTAGATAAAATCTAAATATTTTTGGCCAGAATACATGAAAAGTAATGTTGCTTTCATACTGCATCACGTCAGAAGAGAAAAGTACTGGAAAACAGGATATTAACAAAAAAGAATTGCATGATACACTGATAGAAAACATAAGGATTGCTGTTATAGAGGATGTTGTAACTTACATTTTAAATCTTAGCCTGCCCACTCCTTACAGATATATCCTCTTCTCACGAGGTCTGTTGGATTGCACTATATGTAAACATCAGAGAGAGGTTAGAGGCCTGAGTGGCCTATGCTGTAGGTCCTTTTCCCTAATTTCTAGCTTCTTTTGCCATGAACATATGTGGTGGTCACTGGATTTGCTGATGGAGCATAGCCCCCAGTCACACACCACCATACCAGTCCAAGGAGACAATCCCCAGAAGACCTATAATAGAGATATGAGCCACCAGAGGATTTGCCTGCACCTTGGGTTATTTGTAATCTTTTTATAGTAGCTGATAGCTTACCCCTTAGCACAGTAGCCTATTCATGTGTCCTTAGAGACTCTATGTTTTGTCATTGTTCATATCAGAGCTCGTTTTTGGAGGTGAAGTTGGGCAGGAACATCTTAAGCATCAGTAAAGAGAGCCCCTTGTAGAATCTGATTAAAGTTGTGGATCCTTTTCCCAGGAAAAATGCACACACAGACTCAGAAAATTTTGCATGATATTTCAACTCTTCCAAAAACTAAAGAGCACAAATGTACCTATTCCAGAGATTTTATTTTATGGCTAACATTCTCCCTCAGTTTATTCTTCTGTTAAGCCCAGTGAGTGTTGCTTTTCTCTAGAGAGAAGAGAGGAGAATATTAGAAAAAACAAACATTCTTAAGAATGATTTTGTTTGTCATAATGCCAGAAACTTCCAGGGGAATACTCCTCTGGTTTTACAAAGCCAGAAGAAATATTATTGTTGATATTTTCTTATAGTTAACTTTTCAGAATGAATCTATTCCATAGCATAAAGCCCATGAGCATTTTAAGTTAATTCTGAAATGTTTTATTTTAACCAAAGGATATAGTTTATTTGTCCTACAGCTTAAATTACTGAAAATATTTAGGGAAAAAATTTCTTATAATTCAGTTTTAATTTTATCATATTAATAATTTCACTTGTATAGTGCCTTCATTTTGAACTGTATATTTTTTTCATGTCTTTGTAGTATATTCATTGCCTTCAAAGAAGCTAGTGGCTCTTCAATTAAGATCCATTTTTATTAAGGTTAGTATATTTGCCTTTTTAAGTTTGTTAAAGGAAAGTATAATTAGAAAATGCTGTCAGTATCATTAAGAATTCAGATTCAAAAATCATTTCTACTTTTTGTATGTACAGTTAAGAAAGGTCTGATTTTATAGAGAAATAATCTCATAAAATTTAGAGGTATTACCATTATTTCATGATTATATTGAAAGGAATTGGGACATAGAACTTGGGCTTTATTCCAGATTTAGATAGCATTGGTGGAAAAAACTTAAGGTTTATTCCATTTGTATTCCATCTCAGCCAGTGGCATCTACATATAAATTATGTATAAATCAAAATATGTTCTGAATCTATCTTCTTTGCTCTCCCACTGTCACCACTCTAGTCCAAACCACTGTCATCTTTCATGCCACTGATTCTACTCTTGTACCACCCACTCCCCACAAACACTAGTCTGTCCGTGAACAGCACCACCAATGGTCCTTTAAACCTAAATCAGATTACATCACTTGTGTCTTCAAAACCCTCTGGTTGCTTCCTGTTTCACTCAAAGTGAATTCATTTTTTTTAGTTAACGATATTATACCCAAAGTTTTGCAGTGAGAGTTGCTAACATTTTTACATTGTGCATCATGGATTTTTTAATTCTCTTCCTACTATGTGTAAATTCAAAAATTAAGATAGATAATTCAGTACTTAAAGTGAAATTTCTGGTAGATGGAAATTGTGACTTTAAAATAGCAAGCATTTATTGTGTTGATTTTTTGCACCAATATTGTTCTGAGTACTTTATGTATATGATTCTACTTAATCCTCAAAACAATCCTATGAGGCAGGAATTAACATTATCCTCATTTTTGCAAATGAGAAAATTAAAACATGGAAATGTTAAGCAATTTGCCTGAGATATGCTTTATAAGAGATGGAGCCCGCATTCTAGCCCAGGCAGCCTGACTCCAGAGCTTTCCTTATGCTGTATCACCCTCCTATTTTAAAAGTTAGCCATTTCTTATCTGCATTTTAGATTGTATTAAATAATTATTTTATTATTACCGGTCTGTGAAAAGAGTTTCCTCAAAGTGAGTTTCCCTCCCAGAATTTTATAATTCACATTCCTGATCAACCGACCGTTAACATCTTACCACACTTGCTTGATCTTCTGTCTGCATGCACAGGGTATCCTTCTGCCAAACAGTCGAAAAGTAGGCTAATGACTCCATGATACCCTTAAATACTTAACACACATCTCTCAAAAACAAGGACATTCTCCCTCACAAATGCAACACCATTACCACACCTAAGAAAATCAGCATTTAATGAATTATTAAGTAGTCTCATCTAATGTATTCAAATTTCCCCAGTTGTCCACAAAATGTATTTCAATTCTGAATCTAAGCAAGGTTCACATGCTGCATTTGGCTGTTAAAGCTTTGTAGTTGGCATCCTTCAATGTAGAATTGGCCTGCCTCTGTTCTTCACAATGTTAACTCCTTTGAGGAATGGAGGCCAGGGGGCATTCTGGATTCACCTAGTTTTTTGCTCATGATCAAATTCAGGTCAGAAATTTCTGGAAGAATCTCTCATAGGTGACCATGTGGTGGGTTTTAAGTAACAATAGATTACTTAAGTAGAGAACTAGGAAATTTCCCCTTATCAGAGTAGAATATTTTTGAAATGTGGATTTCTACAATTTATCTCTTAATTGTAAAGATATAATAAATCATTGTTCATCTTTCACCTTTAGTATAAGACAAGTGAATCTAAAAATAATTTTAGTATATGTAAATTACATATCTTCACATAAAGTTGATAAAACATCTAGAACGAGGTCTAACTTGCAGATTTTCTTTTTATTCTTTAATGGTTTACAAAGTATAAATCAAAGCCATTCTGTGAAAAACTGCTTTCCTGGGTGAAAAGCGGTAACTACGCCAAAGTCATTGTTCTCTCCAGCAGTCATTCCTGTCACCGTAATGACCTGCAGCTTCGCAGGTATGTTTTGGCCTATGAAAATTTATGTTATACAGTATTTTTGTTAATACGGTATTATGATTTCTCTATTAAAAAGTTAAAATAAGTTTTAAAAGCCATGTATATTCATAACCTCTCCTTGCTGGAATTCAGAAAGAAGAAGATAAAAGAAAGTAAAGAAATAGGAATGCATACAGTTAGGTAGATCCTTTTAGTTCCTGTGGTTGGGGCACAAGGAAAACTTTGGTGTAAACATAGAGATGGCTCTGGAATGGAGCTTTGTTTGGTGCCATGTGCATGACAACATCACAGAGGTCAGCTGATGAACCAAAAGGAAAAGGGCACCTGTGATTTACTGGTTTGTAATTTTTAAAAGATTGGACTGATAATTCTGTATATTTCCATATATTCAACCATTTCTGTTTGCAGAAATCCAGTTGCCTTTAGTTATAACTCCCAGGCATGTTAAACTGAATTCTTAAATATAAGGCAGAGTATCCAAGAGAAGAAATATGAAGTCTTACTGCCTCATTATTTATGCACCTATAAAATCATGATGAAACTGTATACCAGCCAAGAGTAACCTTCCAAAGCTAGAGCAAATTTCAGGACTCTCACAGCAGGCCTCATTACCAGAGGGACAAAGCTCCTCTCCTCCTGACGGCCCTGCCGCAGTGTAAGTGTTCTGTCTCCTTTGGCCCGCGGCGTGAGTAGCCAGCCGGAGCAGCAGGCCCCTCTTCCTGTTGGAACCTGTGCTTTGCCATGTGCAGCAGAATACGTGGAGAACAAGATAGTTTTTGCTAAGAGAACTGATACTGGTCTTAATGTTCATACTTAAAGAGTTTCTAAAAAGTTAATTATATGAATATTTTTAGTACTCCTTTCAGGTACCTGCTTACACCTTCCATACAAAAAGGTGTTCAAAATAAAATAAACAGCCTTAACTGGGAAGAAATGGAGAAAAGCCCATCAATTCCTGAAATAGGTGATTCTGAGTTTTGTGTCCGTATTCCTGGAGGAGGAATCACAAAAACACTCTACGATGAAGGGTGAGTTTGTTTGCCTGTTTATTCATTTTTTCTCTGCGTTATCTATAAATGAAAGATTGAGAGGGAGTGTCAGATTGCTTATTGAAACTTCAAAAATATATTTATACAATAGGTACTTTATTATATTCACAGGGAAGATTGAAGTTTGGTTATAGGAGGATTGGTTCCAAAAAAGCCATATTTAATGCTTTATGAATATGTATGGCATGTTAGGGATCCTGATACTTATTCTATACAACTTCTACAATCAATCTTTTTTTACTGTGGTAAGATATACATAACATTAATTTAGCCATTTTTAAATGTTACAATCACGACATTAAATACATTCACAGTATCGTGTATCCATCACCACTCGTCACCTTCAGAACTTTTGTCAGCATTCCCGAGAATATCTGTATGCATTAAATAACTCCTGTTTTATTTCTGTAAAATCTATAGTAATACTGTCACTTTCATTTCTGATTTTAGTAATTTGAGTATTCTTTTATTATTGTCTAGCTAAACATTTGTCAATTTTGTTCATTTCAAATAACCAACTTTTGGTTTTATCTGTTTTTGTGTTCTCTTGTATTTATCTCCACTGTAATCATTATTTCATTCTGCTAGCTTTGGATTTAGTTTGCTTTTCTTTTTCTAGTTCCTAAGATTTGAAAAATCTCTTTTAGTGTATACATTTACAGCTATCAATTTCCCTCTGAGCATGACTTTTAGCTCTATTCCTTAAGTTTAGTGTGTTGTGTTCTCATTTTCAATTCATCGCTGAGTATTATATAACTTCTCTTGTGATTTCTCTGACTCATTGTTTGAGAATGTGTTAATTTCCACTTATTTATGAATTTTCCAGTTTTCCTTCTGTTGTTTGTTTATCATGTTATTCTGTTGTTATTAAAAAAGATAATTTATATGACTTCAGTTTTTTAATTTATCAAGTCTTGTTCAGTGCTGTAACAAATGCCCTGTCCTGGAAAATGTTGCATGTATACTTGAGAACAATGTGTATTGTGCTTTTGTTGGATGAAGTGTTTTGTATATGTCTGTCAGGAGCTAGTTGATATATAGCATTAGGTTTTCTATTTCTTTATTAATCCTCTGTGTAGATGTTCCATCCATTATTGAACACGGTGTACTGATGTCTCCAACTATTATTGTAGCACTGTCTGTTTGTCCCTTCAGTTCTGTCAATGCTTCATACATTTTGGGGATCTTGGTTTGTGATGTAAGTCCAGGGAGAGGAAATCTCGGGGCAGAGTACCTCTAAAAACAGAAATCAGTCAAAGGGAGAAATAAAGTTTAAAACCCATTTATTGCTTAAAAACTGCAGTCCAGAGCCGTCTTTCTCCTCTGCTCTGGAAGAAGCAAGCCAACCAGCCAGACCCTGCCTTTAAACTCTCAGGTTCAGACCACCCTCGGTTGCCCAGGTAATTACCCACTGATATGGAGATAAACCTCTCTCCACCCCTGAGGATGTGCAAATGCACTAAAGCCAGGCGAGATATTCTGGAAAGGTTACAAATTTACCCACGTGTGTATTTGTGTTTGTTAATATATTCCTGATGAATTAACCCATTTATCAACATACAATGGCTTTCCTTGTCTCTTGTAACAGTTTTTGACTTGAAGTCTATTCTTCTGACATTAGTATAGGCACCCTGAGCCCTTGTGGTTACTTTTTGCAGGGAGTATCTTTTTCTATCTTTTCACTTTCCAACTATGTTTTTAGATCTAAAGTGAGTATCTTGCAGACAGAACATGGTTGGATTATGTTTTTTTTAATCCATTCTGCCAATTTCTGTCTTTTGATTGGAGAGTTTAATCCATTTACACTAAAATAATTACAGATAAAGGACTCCTGTCATTTTGCTCTTGTTTTCTATGCCTTGTATCTTTTTTGTTCTTCATTTTCACTATTATGCCTTCTTTTGTTCATAGTTGGATTTTTGTAGTGACATGTTTTGATTCTTTTCACATTTCCTTTTTTTATATTCTGTAGATATTTGCTTTGTGGTTACCATGGCAATTATATATAACATCCTCCAGTTATTACAATCAAATTTGAATGAAACTAACTTGACTTCAGTTGCATACAAAAACTACTACTATACACACTGTCCTCCCCACCCATTATGATGTTGTCACAAATGACATTATGTACCCAGTAACATATTTATGGTTATTTTTATGCATTTTTGTCTTTGGTTAGTTTATAGGAATCATGAACATTTAGAAGTAAGTGAAAGTAAAGAGGGAGACTAGAAAGAGATTTTTTTCTTCTAGCTCCTCTTCTTGTAAATTGGTTTATATGTCCATGCCCAGTCAGCCGTCAGATTTTTGGACACACTATCCCTGTTTTTACCTGCCTTATACCTTATCCTCCTGTTTTATAATACATGAGGCTTAGTTCAGGGCTAACCAATGATCCTTGCTCTGTGCTTTAATTCTGACTTTCCCTCCTTGCTGGAGATTGATGTGCCTAAGTTGATGGAAAACAACCAGTGGTTATAAAGAGGGGCAGGCAGCTCTTTAGAATGTGGCCTCAGCTGCTTCCCAAGCTCATACCATCTTCTCTCTCCACTCTACCACAAAGAGAGATGAATGAGGAGCACCCTTCTGGTGCCTTCAGCTGTGGCTTTAGAGAGTTGGGCAGAGCTAAGCCTAGAAAAATGGGCTCAAAGTCAACCAATAAAACTGCTTGCTTAGTCAATATAATAAATTTCAAGAGTGTAAGGCTAGAGTGGTTTACTTGCCCTAAAATCTACATTGTAACTTCTACATGACCTGAAGAAGTCATAATAGTAATTATAGTAACATAAGTAGTAACATAAGTAGTAGACATTGTGGTAATAGCAGCAAATTATGTGCCTGCTACTAAGTCACTTAATTCTCATAATACCATATAGTTATGTGCTATTATCACATTATAAATAAAAAAACCTTAAGAACAGCAAGGTTAACTTACTACTAACTTGCTAACCTACTCTATTCTTATTTAACGATTATTTCTTTCAACTTTCCTTTTTTTCCTAGTCTGTCACCCATTTGTATTTTTCTTTCTCTTTCTGTCTAGCAATTATTCTCACTGCAGTCTAGAATCCCTGTATCTAATTATTATCTGCATCTGCCCTGCAAACCACCAGCTTTGGCTCATTTGCTTGCTTCATTCAGGCCACATGAATTGTTGCCTAGACTACTGTATTAGTCTGATTGGGCTGCCATAACAAAATACCATAGATAGGGTGGCTTAAACAACAGAAATTCATTTACTCACAGTTCTGGAGGCTACAGATTGAGATCACAGTGGGAGTCTGTTTGGGCCCTGGTGAGGACCTCTTCCTGGCTTGCAGATGGCCACCTTCTGGCTGTATCATCACATAGAAGAGGAAGAGCTCTCTCTTTTCCTTTTTATAAGGCTGCAGTCCTGTCAGATCTTAAGATCTCATTTAATCTTAATTACTCCTAAAGATCCTATCTCCAGATATAGTCACACTGGGAGTTAGGGCTCCAACACAGGAGTTTGTGGTGGACATAGTTCATTCCATAGCAGCTGCTGTCAAGGTCTCTTAATTCATTTTCCTGCCTCTTCCATTCTTACCCTCTCTGACCCATCCCTGTAGTGCTGTTAGAATTAGCTTTCTAAAATGTAAAACTTATCACAACATTCCCTGAGCAATTTTACTTGCTTTTTGCAGAAACTGGGTCATACTCCTTGATATGCCATATGAAGCTTTCCTTGTCTGACTCATTCCTGACTCTTACCCACCTGTGTTCTGGATTCCAGCAAACTCCTGACAGTTAGTGTCCTAAACGCTGCCTCATTCTTCCTTACTTTTGTTTCTTCTCTCCTCTTTTCTCCCTTGCATAAACCTACCCCCTTGCCCAGAGCCACCTCATTCATCACTTCTTATGAAAGAAGGCACTTACTACCCTCTTCTATTCCCAGTGCACACTGCTCCTTCAAACTGTCTTTACTAAGCAGTCTCTGACTTTTTCTTCTATCCATGAAAGAGTAACTGATACCAGACTTGCCCTCCTGATATAAACAACTGGAAACTGGACAAAATTAACAAAACAACTGTTCAGATATTGGACAACAAGCAGCACACAGCTGTGATCCCTGAGAGAAGGCAAATAAAGCCCTACATGTGCCCCAGATTTCTGCTTGGAGTTAAATTCTGGACAGAGGGCTGGAAGGGGAGGACCAAAACAGAACACAGCAGTCCTGCTGAGTTGAGTAGACAAGAGATCAGAGGTTAGGAAGGCTGAGATAGCTGGGAAGTACTAGGCAGAGAATCAGAGAGGAGGGAGCTATTCAAGAAGTGCTCTCAGGGTCTCCCCTGAGTTTTTTCTGAATTGTAAGGCACGCATGGGTAAAGTGAAACTATAAGGCTTGACAAGGAACAACTTCTGGATAGCTATAAATGTGCCCACAAAGTTAGCAACAATAACAGAAAATGTAAAAGTTAAACACACTCATAGAACATTTGGAAAATGTAAAACAATCAAAAGAAATATTTAAAATACTCAGTTCTATCAGTCAGAAGTAACTACCACCACTAATTTTTTTTACTTGTTTTCTTCCCAACTTATTTAAAATATAGTTGAATTGAATATTTGTATCTGCAAGATACTATCTAACATTTGTAATCAGAGTTCATCCTGTTCGAAGGTATTTTTTTTTTTTAGATTATTTTTTATTGAAGGGTAGTTGACACATAGTATTACATTAGTTTAGTTTCAGGTGTACAGCACAGTGATTGAACATTTATATACATGATAATTCTAGGTACCAGCTATCACCATACCAAGTTGTTACAATATTTTGACTATATTCCTTATGCTATACATTACATCCCGGTTACTTATTTATTTTACAATTGGAAG